TAATCAGAACGGCAAAAGTTGTTCCACGGTCGTTATCACATATGTATGTCGGGACGTGTCAGCGGGGCATGGGTTTAGCTCGGCGCCAGAATTCACGCATCACCTCACACGCCCCGACTGACATCAGTGATAGCGACTGCGCCTAACAGCCTCTCCACAGTTTATTGGTCTCACCAGTGTGACGGAACCTAAGAAAGTAGCAAACTATCGAAATGCCCTCCTTCCCACCACCTACTAAGCCGAGCAGCGCTGTTCAGTACAACCCTGTTCAGTACACAACTTTACACATCTTTCTAGGCGGTATATCGTGAGCTAGAAATGGAGAAACTGAAAGAAGAGAAAGAACGCGAAGATTCGAAGAAGAAGCGTCCCCGAGCATTACCGCCAATCAAGAACCCGGCTCGTGACGGCCTTACTCGGCTTCAGACAGGTCTCTATTTTTGTGACGTTTGTGACTCTGTTCCCGGAATTTCATGCTCGATTTTGGAAATTTCCCGGATTTTGAGTAACGGAACTGATCTTCCATTTGCTACTTCTTTAAGCTGTGGATTCTCCTGGTGTACTGGATGAACTCGATAAGATGATGGCAGTTGGTGGACTTGCAAAGCTACTGCAAGGATCGCGGACGCCGAGAGCTACAGCAGGACGGACTAAGACAGGTACTTCAGTTGTTGTATGCACGGGTTCTTTGGTTTCTGAAGAATGCTCGAGAAAGAAGGATTCCAGTTGCAGAGAATCTCTGCATAACTGTTTAAGTTCTCGGGGAGATGGACAAGACAATCGTAATTTGTCGCCTCGCCGCGCGCGGCATACTCAGTGGCCATGCGCGGCGAATTTTCCTGAGAATCACTTTGTATTAATCGCAGTCATGCATAATAGCGATATAAGATTTTCCCCTCTCTCAGCACTCAAATTCAAACGGCCGGGCAGAATACCGTCGAGTTATGACTGCGCTGTCGCCAACGTTCCAGGCGCAGCTACGGTAGCATTACGATTGTCTTGTCAGCAAAGCCACATGTTTTCGTGGCATGCTACTGTTCCATGGATGTATTTGCAGGAATTTACATTGCGGCGATCTAATGGCGCGACTAATAGCAATAGCATTTCGTTGAGTAGTGGCTTGGACATCACAGCACTATAGCAGGCTGTCAGGTTGAAATAAACTTGGTGCTGGTGGAAATGCGCACGCGCCCCAGAGTGACACCAATTTGCAGTGCCCGTTTTTGTTGCTTTATGCAGGGGACCGCCAACGTAGAAACTTGCTGGCAGTAGCTCTCTTAAATGGTAACTTTTATCGCATTCTTGCTCGCGCCATTTCGAAGAATTTTCTGTTGTTTTTGTGTTCAGCAGACGCTCCAATGAACGTAGTACAGATTCGCCAAATGTTTATGCCGAAATAAACTTATATTAGGGATTGTTCCGGAAATAAACTCATATATGGTTGTCCGGAAAGCGGTCTACAGCGTTTTTGAGTGTTTTCACTTAACCGATCTAGACTTCCCTGCAATGCTCATGCAGGATAATCGGAAACTAGGCACCGTTCGAAAGCAGCACGACCTTCTGCCAATGTGACAGACCCAGTCGATAGAATGCCATCAAAGAAAAAACTCGGAAGGTACGAGAAATCCCTGAAATCATGAAGGCTTTTTTGCTGTCCTGCGATTGATAAAGTATTTTCAGCAAGGAAGTTCTGAAAATGTTAGAAAGGGTGATAGTCGGTTGGCAAAAAGGTCTGAAGAATATGGCGGTTGAGGTAGAACTTCAACCCCCAATTCGTTCAATTTATAGATAGTGATTTGTGAAACGTGTGGGCGAGCGGCCGTTGTCATGCAAAAGAATGGGACTTTCTGACAGGTGCTGGCTGCAGAGCTGACGCAATTTTCGGTACATTTCGTCGATTTCTCCACAGTAGGACTCTGCTGTGATGGTTTGGCCTGGTGACAAAAAGTTATAGTGGATCACACCAGCCGATGACCACCACACTGTGACCATAATCTTTTTTTCGTGAGGATTCGGCTTTGAAAATTGCCTCGGTGGTTCGGATCCAACCACGTCACCAGGGAACGTCCTCCTGGTTATCATACAGTACGCCATTTTTTCATTCACAGGTGAGAATTCGGTTCCAAAAAGGGTCGTTTCTTTTGTGCAAAAGCGTGATGACAGAAAGGTGCGAATTTCTGCAAATCAGTGAGAGGCAGCCAAAAGCAGTGATGAAGAAAGACGTGCCAATCACTCAAATTGTGGGGCACCCACTTGAAGTTTTTTCACCTTCCCAATGCGTTTCAGACCATCCGCAACAGTGGATTTGCCAACGCCTAGCTTTTCTGCAATCTCTCGAACTGTTTGGGATGGGTCAGCCTCCAAAAACCCCTTCAAATCCTCGTCAGGTATTGCTTTAGGTCGACCGCTACGAGGTTCATCTTCAAGGCTGAAATCTCCAGAACGAAATTTGTCGAACCATTGTCGCACGGTGCTTTCTCCAACACTATTGGGCCCCCACCTGGTTAATTTGTCGAGCTGTCTCGACTGCGGATTGACCCAATTTGTAGTCGAAGAAAAATATCGTTGCTCTTTTGACATGCTTCAAAAAGTCTTGGGGAAAAGGGGGTTTATCAAGCAATGGTGAAACGGCAATTATACCATCAGATAGCGCAAAAAATTCTCTTCAGGATGTACTACTGAGACGCAAGGGAGAATGAGTTTTTAATCAGCAATGAATGTACAAAAAATAACACAAAACGCTGAGAACTTTCCGGACAACCTAATAATAGTTAGGGTAAACTGAGCACTAATTGTACTATTTGTTGATGTGTGGAGATTAATGGCAAGTCGATCGCAGTCTGTTTTTAGTTGCTTCTCTTACCCGCTTATTCTGTTTGACGGGCGTTTAGGTCGAGCGGCACTGCAACGACAGCGATCACGCGGTGCTGATTTTATTCTTCGTGAAGCTCTCACTGGGGGTGAGCCTGACGCGAACAAAGTCCGAGCCCCATTCTCAGTTCTCCCTCCTGCTCCAGAAAAGGTGCGAATCCGCCGGAAAGGAGCCCCTACCGTAGA